TCTTTTCTTTTTCCTCCAACCACTGCTGTAATTTCTCTTCTCGTTTCTTTTCTCGTTCTTGTTTTTTTTTTGCTGCTCTTGTATTGCTGCCATCAAGTCTGCTAAGCTGTAGTTTGATTTTCCGCCTCTGGTTCCATTTTTTTTATCCCACTCTCTGACACCTATTGGGTGCAATGGGACCACTTAAAGCTTGAAGATGGTATTCTTGTACGGAGATGGGAAACTACAGATGGGAAAGTGACGACTTGGCAAACAGTTATACCGAGGAAGTTAAGGGAAGTTGTGCTGCGTCAATCCCATGATAATTTAACAGGAGGACATCTCGGAATTAAGAAGACATTGAGTCACCTACAACAGAGATTTTACTGGATAGGTATGAGGCGAGATGTGGAAGAATGGTGCAGGACATGCAGTACATGTAGTGCAAAAAGGGGACCCAGGCATAAAGGATGCCTACCTTATGAAGAGTTGCCTGTGAATATGTCAGAGTTTGTGGAAGTGTTATCAGAAAGGATGGATGATATTCACCATCAAGTGCATTCAAACTTGAAAACGTCTGCTGATTCGATGAAGCTGTCTTATGATAAGAGATCTACTGAAGTCAGCTTTGTACCAGGAGACAAGGTATGGTTGTATAATCCCAGGAAGACCAAAGAGAAGTCTCCAAAGTTGTCTTCTCCATGGGAATGCCCATATGACATAGTGGATCATCTCTCAGACTTGACTTTCCAGGTAAAATGTGGTCGGTGAGGTAAGCCAAAAGTGGTGCATGCCAACAGGCTTTGGCATTATCACGATCCAGGACATTTCAGTTGGGACAAATTGAACAAAGGAACAAATGACGCTGCTGAAGAGATGTCACCTGAAAAAGCCAACGTCGGAGAAGAAACTCTACTCAGTTTTGAGAAGGGAAACAGTGAAGCTCTTGATGAAGTTACTACCACTGATGTGACTGTTATCGACGATAGAACATTTCCTGATGAAGCAGATGAACCCCATATGAAGCAGAAGCCAATGAGACGGAGACTAGTACGGAAGAAGATACGTCCCGTAAAATTAAGAGACTTTGTTGAATTGTAATTTTGTGTTTTTAATTCTGTATATTTAATTAAGTTATTGTTAATTGTTATTTGTTTAATGTAAGTGGTTATTATTCGGGACGAACAATACTAAGGAGGGGCAGTGTTGCGACATCGAGGTCACGTGACTAGTATCACGCCACGTCATTCTCGAACTTTCACGTGTTTTCCTTAAATCTCGTGATCTTTCTAGATATAGTGTAGTCTTGTATATATAAGACCGGTCACGAAGCGACGGGGAGGTAATGAGTAATTGAACTGCAGTCAGAGAATGTGTAATTGAACTGAGCATTGTCGAGCACGAGCGCGTGAGACGTTCTTTGAGAGTTATAGCGTTTGTTATAGAGCGACTGTTGAAATTCAGTGTATCGTAAAGTTGTATTCGGAAAGAATAAACCAGTTTTGTTGAAGAAAAGACTTGTGTCGCTAAAGTTTCGTCGGAATGAATTTACGGAAAATAAATTAACGAACGAACGGAGACGTAACATTATAATATTTTATTTATTTTATTAGGACACGCGTCATGACATGTATATATATGTTAAAAGAAGCTCTCTCTCGCCAAAAGCAAACAAATGTATAAATTTATAAAGCATAGCCAATAACAATATTATAAACGTGATTTCACTATAATGTTATTACGATATATCCTTTAATTTCATAAGTGCACCCGGTTGCTCAGGGATAAGTGCATGAATTTGTAACTGTACTAATCGAGTTGTATGTTTGCGATTTTGCCCCCCCCCCAGTGGCATAGTGGTATGTCTGCTGACATATAACAGTAGAAACCGGGTTTTGATACCCATCGTGGGCAGAGCACAGATAGCCCTTTGTGGAGCTTTGTGCTTAATAACAAACAACAACAACTTTGCGCTTAATAACAAAACAAACAAATCTTTATTATATGTCGAAGTCATATTTTAAAAGATATTTTTAGACAGAGGATTAGAAATCGTCTTGAAAGGTGCATATACGTATATATATATGTATTTAGATAGATATACATAGATACTTTCTTGCAGAATTTGCATACGACGTTTGGTACTGCCATTTTAATGGTGGACATCATCAAACCGTAGTTGTTCATGTACAATCTGATTTGAGCATGCGTCGTAAGCTTACGTAATGCAGTAATCAAGGCTGTTCTGTTACTGTTAGTTGTTAACAGCGTAGGCAAGAGGTTATAATATTAAACACTACTGAGGAAGTGAAAATTGACATTTTATTATAAAAATATGACTATAGTCACTCAAGGAGTCACTGAGAAGAAGCTTTCTCAGCAAAAGGAACCTTTAGTGACGAAAGAAGTGGTAAGTATTTATTCATAGTAGTTAGCATAGAATTAGAAATATAAGTTATGAAGTAGATTTTATGTATTACATAGTACGTCCACAGTGAATTCTTTAGTTGAAACTTGTACTGTTGTAGTTGTACTGCAGACCTTAGATTAGGTTAGGTTTTCTTAGGCCTAATTTTGATGGAAGCGTCTTGTTGCCGTCTGATTTTTTGGAAATACAAATGAGTAAATGACTAAATGTATTGTCTGTAAAGTGATATTAACAAGAACGTTGAAGTATAAGGGGATCATCATCAAGGCAAATTAATGCAATAAAGGTAAGCAACAAAAAGCTTAATGCTTAATCTTTCAATGTCAAGTGTTGGGAAAAGTTAGGCCACAACTTGCACAAGTTCTAATCTAGACTAAAGACAGCTTAGTTGTACAACTTACAAATTTAATCCTGAGTTCACACATACAAGAAATGAGATTAAAACCAGACACATTGATGTGACTGAACATTTTTTAGAAACTCTGTGTCCGTATTTGTACTGTTTTTGTTGTTGTTACATTGAAAATAATTTTTTTCAAATTTAAATTTTTAATAGTATAGGTAGGAATGGTAGGACAAAGGGACATTAATTTTGGCAGATTAGGAGTGATCTTCAGCTTAGACTGTTTTATTTTGATGGTAATAACAAGGTGGTTGGCCTTGTGAATAGGTTGCTTTTGGATGCAGTAAATTTAAGGGAGTTTAACTTTAAGAGAAGGCTTCATAAATAGTGATCTTGACTGAATTTGAGGGTGTGAATGGGGCAGCCTTGATGAACCAACAGGACCCTTCTTGTTTTTGTGTTACATTATATGTTGGGAAAAGGCTAGTTAACTGAATTGTAATTTAACTTTACACTGAACAGGTAATTAATTATCTTGTGAGTTATATAGATATGTAGCCAGGCTTTGCTTGGAATACTGTTTGCAGTTTTGTTATAATTTTTAAGTAAAGAATATTGAATTGTGAAGGGTTTAAAGAAGGACTATTAGGATGACTCCAGGGATAGGTTAGGAAAGTAGCTTCCATTATCAATGTTTACTGTATATGAGTTTCAATAATTTGTATATTATATCACAGTCTTTCATTTCAACTAGATCCCTGAATTCATCCATTTTGTTCTTAATACTCCAAACATGAGAATTAGAACATCATGAATCTACTTTGCTTATTTTTAGAATATTTTTAAAACTATTACTTAACTTGTTTTGTTATAAGTATCTTTGTTTCAATCTTCTCACAAACCTAGATATCCTTAACCTTTAAAGTAATTTACTCCCAAATCTAGCCTAAGGGAGCACTCTTGAAAGGACCACATGTTTAATTTCTTTGTATGAACCTCTGAAGGAGTTCTCTGTACTTCTGATTTACAGTTTTAAATTTTCAGTAATCCTCCATTTATAATGAAAACATGTTTTACTGTCAGTGATAAATTTAATAACATTTTAATTAAATCATTATAAACCATTAAAGGGCCAGTAAGCCATTTTTTTATGTACATAAACATAAAAATAATATTCAGTGAATTGAATAAGGATTTGAGTTACCACAATATGTTGCTGTCACATACCATACTCACAAAACCTAACTGTTACCTGATGGCTTCTTATCTAAGAAAATTTGTTGCTTTAAAAGATATAGTTGAAACACAAACACTTTTACTTAGATTCCAAACTTTTCCATAAAACCATAAACTGTGGCTCAAACCACTAGATTTACTCTACTGTGATGTAGTCTAATTCTTGTTCAATCCATTCATATTTAAACTTTCTTTATAGCTGTTTCAGAATTAAATGATTATACAATTGTTGTGACATCATAAAAGAGTAGCAGCTATATATATATCCTATATATACTATATATATATATATATATATATATATATATATAATAAAATAAAATAAAAGAGACAACTAAAATAGTATTAATTAATTA